CGGCCGTGGGAGAAGTTCGTGCGCGGCGCGGAGGTCCTGGAAGAGCGGGCGGCGGTGATAGCGCCGGCGTGCCCTCCCGCGCGCCGAGACCCGCTTGCCTCACCGCGCAGAGGTTGCCCGGACTTACGAAAGGAAGTGACCGCCGTGCCTGGGCGGCCTGGAGGGATGCGATCGGCTGCAGAGAGAAGTGCACTGATTCCAGTGTGCGCCAGCGTGCAGAAAAAGGAAGGGAGAAACTTGTGCGTTTGCCAAGCAGGGGTGACCCTTTGAGAGCCGCAGAGGCTGCTAGACTCTCAGATCTCTAGTCTGCTGGTGGCAAGTAAATTCCCGTTCGTGCTGTTCCAGCCGTCACTGGTGGTGCGAAGGGTGCACATGCTGTCTGGCAGGACTTCTGCTTTGTCCAGGGGCGTGGAAAGATTGGAAAGTGTTGCTAGGGTCTTTAGAAGACTCTGGAAAACTTCTATTTGGGTACATCACAGAGAGGAGAAATGTAGTAGTTCTTCCTAGTGTTTAGGGGACGAGTGAGAAAACCCGCGAAGCCTGAAACCGTAGGTGGTGCCCCTCTACTCTAGCTCCCTAACTATCCTGTGTTTGTTTTTTTTTTTCTTTACATACAGACCTGTGATAAAGTTTAAATTACCAATTAGGCCCAAGAAGAGGTTGACAATAACTACTAAAGCAATAGAATATTTAGAACAAAATACTGTAGTAAAATCTATCTCCATATATTATTATACTTTTCACCTTTATTAAGTAAAATGAGACATACTTCAACATAAGCACTCTGATACCTGGACAGTCGATTGGATAACTGAGAGGATTAATGAATAGCTGATGGATAAGTAGTATTTATAGTGTCAATATGCTCTGCAAAAAGATGATTCACATCCATGAAGCAGCGTGAAAGTTAGTCACGCTACTCAGAATGGCGTGCTATTTCAATTTTATGAAATGTTTTCTTCGGGAAGTTTTTATTGTTTTAATTTTTGAACCAAAGTTTATCACAAGTATCTGAAACCACAGAAAGGAAAACTGTACAAAGGGGGCAGTACAATATGACGCCTTTGTTACACAGGAAATGTGAACCATCACCTCCTAACCTTGCCACTCTTGAACAAAACACCTGAGTTGGTTGAAAAGGCCTCAAGATGATTCATCTTTTCATACATACGAAACAAAAATCAGAGAAATTACAGACCACATTGTAGTTTTACCTGCTTCAGGAGATGATTACATACAACTTAGTAGTTGATAAAATAGTTGCTTTATTTGGAGCTATGCTGGCAGTTCAAAATTTGCTTTCAGAGAAGAAAGTAATAGAGAAACCTATGAAGATTCCTATCCTATGCCTGCTCTTGGGCTCTTTGTTAATTGAGCCCAAGGGCTTGTAGGTTAACTTGCTTATTATCTGAGAAACTTGGACCTGTGAGAGATGGCCAGATAGTGATACCATGAAAGTCCTCTGAGGTTCTGAGTCTTGCCTCGTGTTAGAAATTTAGAAAGTGTTGCAAATAGCTTGGTGGTGTTGCTATTCATAAAGTGGGCCTGGGCAGCCTCTGATTTGAGAGGTGGGCTGGATTAGGACCCTGCTTCTTTTAGGGCTGGGAGAAGTGAAAATATTGGTACAAGATGGAAAGGATTTATGAGGACAGAAATGTGATTCGTAGTAGCAGTGGATCAATCAACTTTCTGAATACCAGTTAGGGAAGAGATGGCAGATTTTCAGCAGAGAGTTAAATAAAAAGCCAAAGCTTAAATTTACCAATCTGCTACCAGTTTTATCAGGTAGTGATTAATATAATCATATGTCTACATGTTGGATATTTTGGGGGGGAGTGTATTGGGTAAATCTTGAACACTGTGCTTTGTTTACAGGAGTGGCAAGCCATCATCTCACCCAGTTTGGATCCTGGCTTCCCTCAAAAGACTCTGTGCTAATGTTTGATAACCTTCTGGAATAGCCAGTACTACATTTACATAATATATATATACTAGATAACAGTCCATTGGTTTTTGAACTGATTTTCTTTTTTTTTTTTTGCGATGTTTGTATCTAATGAATTTTCCTCACCCAAGATAACAACTTAAGGTGTCTTAATTATACTTCTCTGTAACACTTCATTTCTTAGATTACAATCACCCCCCCATCTATGATTTCAGCTACCAACATTCATCTGTGGTCCAGAAGTATTAAATGGAAAGTTCCAGAAATAATTGGTAAGTTTTAAATTGTATGCCACTCTGAGTAGTGTGCTTGGACAAAGTATACCTGTCTACCCTGTCTCACCCAAGCCATGATTCATCCCTTGTCCAGTGTATCTACACTGTATATGCCACCTACCTATTAATCTCTTAATTGCCAACTTGGTTATCAAATCAGCTATCACAGGATTGTAGTGCTTGTGATCAAGTAACTCTAACTTTCCTAATGGTGAAAGCACAGGAGTTGTGATTCTGGAAATTTGGTTATGCCAAAGAGAAACTAGGAAGTGCTTCTTTAAGTGAAAAGGTGGATGTTCTCAATAAGGAAATATGCTGAGGTTGCTGAGATCTACAGTAAGAGTGAATCTTCTATTTGCGAAATTGTGAAGAAGGAAAACAGTTTTGTGCTAATCCTGCTGTTACACTTCAGATTACAAGAATAGCTGTTATACATAAGTGCTTCTTAAGATAGAGCAGGCTTTAAATTTGTAAGTGAAAGACTGAACAGAAAATATGTTCTGATCGATGATAGTGGGTTGTGCTAGAATTGGGCCTGTACAAAGACTTCAACAAGAGTTCTTTTGAAACAAGTAACAACAAGTCATTTGCTACAAGGAAGAGACAGTTACACAGATTCAGGAATAGGTTTGTACTGAACACACTAAAAGGGGCTGGGGATTTAGCTCAGCGGCAAAGCGCCTGCCTGGCAAGTGCAAGGTCGTGAGTTCGGTTCCCGGTACCAGA